GACAAGCTTGCCTACATATAGACACAGAAACTAAATAAACATAATCAAAAATTCAACATTACAGGATATATCCATGTATGGGAACATCACATTGTGTATAATTTTTTTTAAAATATTTATTTATTATATATACAATATATGTATGCAGGCCAGACCTCGTTACAGATGGTTGTGAGCCACCGTGTGGTTGCTGGGAATTGAACTCAGGACCTTTGGAAGAGCAGGCAATGCTCTTAACCTCTGAGCCAACTCTCCAGCCCCAGAAAATTCTTTTCTTGAGAGAAACTTTGAGCATATCCATTTTCTTTATTTTACATCATGTGTCTGTGGCTAGGCAGGTGCAAGCGAGGGCAAGTGCCTTCTGAGTAGGAAGTGGATCTAGGCTCTTGAGCCTGAACTACAGGCAGTTGTGGGTTGTCTTGATGTGGGTACTGCAGTCAAAGCCTCCTGAAGAAAACCAAGTGTTCCCTCTCTCTCTAGTCTCCTTATCCCATCACATTTTCCAAAGAAAGCACCTGTTTGTTAGAGTTGCCCGTGTTCACTATCTGCCAGGTCTCGTCTTTGACCATACTGTTGGAGCCCTGCCATGCAAATGGCCATAAGCACAGAAGTTGGTTTGAGCTGAGACTGAGACGTACAACTCAGAGTAGGCCTCTCATTTTCACCTGGGTGACGGCCCATAGTTCCCTGTAATGCTGACACCTCACAACTCAGTACAGTTCCAAGTTAAGGCTTTCAATTTTGAGATGTTTTCCCCGAGATTGGGTTTTTGCTGTCATCCTCACACCTTCCCCTAAGTGAATAATTTTGAATTATATCCTGGACATCGTGAATGTATAAGTTACACAGGCACTTCATTCTAATTTACTTCTTTAAGGAATGCCCATAGACCAAATACTGGTTTTATTCTTTAGCAGGGCTGCTTAGAGTCTATCAGTTACACAGAGGTCTGCTAGAGAGCTGAGTAGTTTCTATACAGAACACGGTGCTTCTCCATTTTGGCACTTCCTTTCCTGGGATTTCCCACTTGTCTGTGCCTGAGGTTATCCAGTTCCTTTGGTTGGTCAAGTCATTTAAGACTATTCCCTCTCCTTATGCGTAGCACAGGGTGGGCTAGGGTTGTCTTCAGGGTGAAACAAAAAGACTAAAGCATTGGTGTCTGCCTGGTTTTGGTTGTTTATTTGTTAATATCTTTTTTTGTTTTTTTTTTTAATTGATATTTATTGAGCTCTATATTTTTCTCTGCTCCCCTCCCTGCCTCTTCTCTCCCCTCTTCAGTCCTCCCCTAAGGTCCCCATGCTCCCAATTTACTCAGGAGATCTTGTCTTTTTCTACTTTCTACTTCCCATGTAGATTAGATCTATCTCAGTCTCTCTTAGTGTCCACTTGTTGTCTAAGTTCTCTGGGATTGTGGTTTGTAGGCTGGCTTTCTTTGCTTTATGTTTAAAAACCACCTATGAGTGAGTATATGTGATAATTGTCTTTCTGTGTCTGGGTTACCTCACTCAAAATAATGTTTTCTAGCTCCATTTTCCTGCAAAATTCAAGATGTTATTTTTTTCTGCTATATAGTACTCCATTGTGTAAATGTACCACATNAAATGTGTAGTCCTGGCTGGCCTCGAACTCCAGATCCACCTGCCTCTGCCTCCTTCACCGGCCTGTGCCACCAGAGCCGGCTGTGTATAATTTTTTTTTTTTTTTCGAGACAGGGTTTCTCCATAGCTTTTTGGTTCCTGTCCTGGAACTAGCTCTTGTAGACCAGGCTGGCCTCGAACTCACAGAGATCCGCCTGCCTCTTGTGTATAATTTTTATATCCGTTAAATGAACCATAATTAGACAGATGTAAAGGCGAATACCTGTAATCCCAGCCCTTAGGAGGCTAGAAGAGGGCACTCTCGAGTTCAAGGCCAGCCTGGGCTGTAGAGAAACATTCTGCCTAGGAACAAATAGAATAGCTGTCTATCACAATGGCAGACTTGTGGCTGGCCTTCCTCCTGGACTGAGGGGCTGTGCTTTCAAACTGGGCTTTAAACTAGGCCTGCCCCTCCCCAAACTCCTCCCATCTACCTAGAAAAAAATCCTTTCTCTCTGAGGAACTGTGGGGTTGTCTGGATGTCACCATGTGTCCACTAAGGCAGGTTTTATTTTGTTTTTGTCTTTTTGCAACAGCGCTTCTCTGTAGCTTTGGAGCCTATCCTGGAACTAGCTCTTGTAGACCAGGCTAGCCTCAAATTCATGGAGGTCTGCCTGCCTCTGCCTCCCAAGTGCTGGGATTAAAGGCGTGCGCCACCACCGCCTGGCTCCCACTGAGGCAGTTTTATGAGTTCCTATAACGGCTTCTATCCTTCTGGAGAGCAGAGCAAGTTGCAGCTGTCCGCTGAGAGGACCCACACCCGGGAGCCCAGGCAGGGCAACCCCTTATCCTTCCAGTCGGCTTAGCACAAATGGAGGCTCAGCTGGGCAGAGTTTCTGCTAACTGTCCAGACACGTCCAGACAGAATGTTCTCGAACTTTTCTCTCTCTCTCTCTTTTTTTTTTTCTTTTTTTGAGATAGGGTTTCTCTGTGTAACAGTCCTGGCTGTCCTGGAACTCTCTTTGTAGACCATGCTGGCCTTGAACTCACAGTAATCCACCTTCCAAGTGCTGGGATTAAAGGCATGCTTGAATGTTCTTGAACTTTGGCTATCCCAGTAAGCAGAGGGCACGTGACTGACTTCTTGTACATTGATGGTACAAAAGCTTGCATGCATTGTCGGTCATGGAGAAAACACCAGGCACCATCCGGTCATTCGGAGGTTTACGTAGGCTCTGATAACATCCTTTGCCAATGCTAGGGATTGAAGCGTGATAGACAGATGCTATGACACTGAGCCCCGACCCCCTCCTTTTAGACAAGGTCTCACTCTGTTGCCCAGGTTGAACTGCTGGGCTCCAGGAGTCCTCCTGTCTCTGCTTCCCTAGCGGTTGAGGCTATTCAGCCATTAGCTTGAAAATCTTTTTCTTGATTTCTGTCTCCTGTCTTCCTTTACTTACCCAGGCTTCAAAACCCTGGATGGAAGGATCGAACCAACTCCCCAAGCTGTCTTCTCAGCTCCGCACTCATGGTGTCTGATGTATCCACCCACCCCACAAAATAAAGAAAGAAATATGAAATAAACACGGTATTACTTTGTTTAAACCGGGCAGATTTTGATCTCATGATGTTCTTTTTTTTGTTATGTTTTGTTTTGTTTTTCGAGACAGGGTTTCTCTGTAGCTTTGGTGCCTGTCCCGTCTCATGATGTTCTTTCCTCGGCCTCCCAAGTACTGTTATTTTGCTGGCTCCACTCACTGTACCTACTCTTTTCTTCTCTCTTTCTCTTGCTGTTTCAAATGGCTTTATTTTTACTTGGCCCAAGACTTGAGAGGGGCTCCAGGGCGTTACAAAGCTGCCTAGTGGCTTCTTGAGAGGTTCGGGTAAAGATCCTGAGGTGGGCTGGGACAGAGCAGAGGTGGGAGCCCCTCAGAAGGAGAGGCCTCCTAGTCATGCTTGAGAGTGAGCCGCTCAAAGAGGTACTCGCCCAGAGATGCCTGGGGCCCAGCCAACCTGCAGAGGTTGGTCAGGTGGTTGCCCATCTTCTTGATGACCTTCACCTCCTCATCCAGGAAGTGGCTTTCAAGGAAGTCACAGAGATGGCCTCCTGGGTTTTACGCCACTCATCTTGAGATGGCTTCTGCACATTCTGAAAGGATGCACGGCCTCCGCGCGATTGTTCAGCACCCTCGTGCTTCTCCTTGGCCAATTCACAAAAGAAGTGGCCTACGGCCTCCAGAGCCACGTCATCCAGATCAAAATAGTAGTCCAGAGAGAGGTAGGTGTAGGTGTAGGAGGCCCGCAGGTGCAGGTTGACCAGGCGGTTCATGGCAGCCTCCACTTCAGTGGAATAATTCTGACGAATCTGGGAGGTCGTGGCTGAGACGCAGTCTGGAGCTACCCGCAGAGACAGTGCTGGCTGGTCCTAGGAGCTGAAGGCAGCGAGATGATGGTCCCAGAGGCTGCGACTGGAGAGGATGAGGAACGGTGGAAGCTAACAAAGGGAGGCCCCCGGTCTGTTCCCTCCAAACACTGTTGAAGCAAGACACAGATCCACCGGATCTCCGAGGGCTGCCTTCTTTTATTTTTTTAAAATGTATTTTAATCAAGTCCCTTGAAATCCAATAAGCTTGAAGGAGAAATTTAACACAGTAAGAACTGGGCTTTGAATTATTTCAGATTTATTTCTTTTATCTTATGTGTATGAATGTTTGTTTATTTATTTATTATGTATACAATAGTCTGTGTGTGTATACCTGCAAGCCAGAAGAGGGCACCCATCACAGATGGTTGTGAGCCACCATTTGGTTGCTGGGAATTGAACTCAGGACCTTTGGAAGAGCAGGCAATGCTCTTAACTTCTGAGCCATCTCTCCAGCCCTGTGTTTGAATGTTTTGCCTGCATGCTCTGTGTGTGTCTGGTGCCTGCGGAGGACAGAGGAGGGCGGTAGGATCATATGTACACGGTTGTGAGCTGCCACGTGGGTGCTGGGAACTGAACCCAAGTCTTCTGAGAAAGAACAGGTGCTCTTAACCATGGAATCATCCCTCCAGGCCTCACCGTTTACACACCGGCCATCACAAGGATAAGGAGATAGGAATTGTACTAACCCTTGTACAAGGGCAGAAAGGAGGAGAGAGGCTGTCCAGGGGCAGACACCAGCTGTTATCACCCCAGCAGTTCCTGCCTGGCTGCCCCAGGCTCTCCTGACTGCAGGTGATCCTCACCAAGAACCACTTAGGCAGTTCATTGCCCCCAGGCTGCAGAATTCTCAACTTTCTGCTCGCAGCCCAGCTGCTGGCTGAGGCCTAGGCTGTGGCGGGAGCCTGAGCCTTGCAGCAAGAGCCAACTGCTAGACGCTGTCTCCTAGCAACCGGCTGCAGTCACGTGGCCGCGCGAGTTGGCCTCACGTGGCTCACCGCCAAGCCACGGTTGGTGCTGGCGCAACGTGACGGGCGGGGCCGGGAAGTTTGTTCCCGAGTTCGGAGCCCAGGAGTCCCCGCGGCCGTCGTGCAGGTGCCCTCCGCCGGGGTCGGGATGGAGCTGCCCGCCGTGAACTTGAAGGTGGCCGCGCGGCCGGGGCGGGCGGGGGTTCAGGAGCCTGGGGAACGGAGTCGGAGCAGAAGGGAAGGTGCAGAGCCCAAGGGAGGAGGCAGTGGACACCGAGAGGGACACCTGGGGACAGAGACCGACAGGGCCACCCCTCCCGGACAGACCCAGGCTGGCACGGGACCCGGACAGCCCGGACCTGCGCTCCTCCTGTCCCCCAGCAGCAGGACAGGGACTCCTCTCCTCCTGAGAGGTCAGACCCCCTCCAGTGCAGTCCCGCTGCGTCCCTCTGTGTGTTAGCACAGGATTGGAGAAATCCAGTGTCCCCAAACAATTGTTTCTCCCAAATTTCCGCATGCAGCGTCCTTCTTTCATAGTTAAGAAGCAGGAACTGCAGAAGTTTCTTAAAAGCAAAAAACCCAAAGCCTGGGCTGGGCCCCGGGCAGCGGGGCTGCCCACGGTGTCTTCATTTCCCGGGTTCTTACTTTTTCTTTCTCAGCCCTTCTGGTTTGCAGCAGAGGGGCTGGCCTCTCAGTTTCGGTCAGAGGGGCGTGGACTTGGACCTAAACCGGCCATCTTGGGCCTTGGTGCAGGCTCCGTGAAACCCTTAGACTCCCAGGTGTCAAAGGATTTAGCACCCTTTGGTGTCTGAGATCAAAGGGACCTAAGAGCTAGGTGGTTTTGGAGCAGCGGTGTAACTCCACAGTTGGGCTAAGCTGTGACTTACACTGCCCGGTTTCTCATTCCTAAACTCCTGGCCAGCAGCTGAAGGGAGGTATGATAGGCGCAAAGGATTGGGCATGGGCGGACCCCTTAGCCGCGGAGAGGTTTACGGGCTGCTGCAGGGCTTGTAGCTTTCGCTACTGACTGTGGGAGCAGTGGAGGTCAGGCGCTGCCTTCCTTATTCTGCTTGAGCCTGCCCCCAAATAATTAAGAGGACAGCATTAGTCCCAGTGGGAGAGCGTTTGAGTAACCCACACCAGGCCTGGGCTTCATCCTAGTGCCACGCACAAACAATAATAATAAGCCATAGGAAAGGGTGAGAAAGGAGCTGGTGTTTATGGGCCGATATGTTTTATTCAGACCTGCCTTGGACTTCCTACGTAGCTGAGGATGACCTGAAACTTCTGATCCTCCAGCTTCCGCCTCTCCAGTACGGGGCTTGCAGGCCTGTTATGCAGTCCTGGGGATGCAGCCCCGAGTTTCTTGCATACTAAAGCACTCTGCCGATGGAGCCACGCCCCCCAGCTTGTGTTGCTTGCTGATCTCACTTGTTTCTGCTTTGAGTCAGGGTCATCTAGTTCTGCCTGGCCTGGGACTCACTGTCCCACACAGATCTGCTTGCTCTTGCTTCCTGAGTGCTGGGATGAAAGGCCTGCACCACTACACCTGGCCAGTCTCTTAGAGAGATGTAAACTTCAGCTTAGGTCATGTAAGGAAATTGCCAGGGTCCCCCAAGAACTAAATGGTGCAGTCAGGATTTGAACCCCCAAAGACCCAGCTCCAGGGCTTGACATTCCCAGGTTCGGGGTTACTTGGGACTAACTGGTTTTGATGGCCTGTGTCGACGTTTAGAGCCTGATAGGCCCAGAGCGTCCATCACAAGTGTGAGTTAGATGGGCTTTAGGCCCCAGGATGCAGAGACTGGGCCCTCCCCTGATCTGATTGACAAGCCCTGTGTCTCCATGGATCTTAGCCAGGACCAGTTAGAAGCGAGTGCCCGCCAGAGATTGTGAGTTAACACGTAGGAGGGACGTCCAGTCATTGGGCTTCGCATCAATGACAGCGTTTTATTGTGTCTCTCGGTGTTGGGGACATACTGAATTATCCATAATCTGAAATTCAGAATGAGCCTGAGTGCTGGTCATTTTGTCTGCAAGATCTGTACCCTATGGAGGGCAGCTGGGACACAGTGGCTGCCCCCTTTCAGCTCCACCCTGTGTCCTTAAAGACGCGGTTTGCCCAGCACAGCTGGAGTGCACTAGGTGTGTGTGGGGGGAGGTGAAAAGAAACAGTTGTCCCAGGCTCTGTGAAGGAAGTCTGTCCCAAACTGGGCCCCACTGGAAGCTTGCAGGAGCTGAGCTGAAGCCGCTCAGGTTGGACTAGACCTGTGGTCCAAGCTGGAGGAGCCAGTGGTGGGGAAGCCGACAGTGGTCATGAGGCCCGTGTGTTGAGTGCTATACTAACCTCTGTCCCCTCCTCCCACCCCTGTCCTCCTGAGCCGAGGAGCGTGATTATCTTATCCCCGTCATGCTGACAAGCAGGTGGCAGTTGTATGAGGTCAGGAGACTTAACCAGGTTCGTCTGTGGATGGTCGGTCCCATGGCTTTGATGCCAAAGTCTGCCAGATGATCAGGGCAGGCAGGACCTGGCCCTCCTCCTGGGTAGCCCTTGAATTCAGCTGTCCTGGGGCATCCTACCGTCTTATCCATCAGGCCACCAAGTGTTTGCACAGGACACACCAGGATGTATTAAGTTGAGGTCTGGGAAGTCCCCACCTTCTCCTCCTCAGGGAATAGTAAAGGCTTGTTTTGTTTTCTTGTCATAGGGTACCACTTGCCTGGCAAGTTCTCTCCCACTGAGCCGCAGTCCACAGCCCCAAACAAAGGGTTAACCTCATGGCCACTGGACTTCTGCTGACCCACCCTTTTCTAAGTTAAACTTCACTTTCCTCTGCCCTGCCCCTGGCCTTGCAGATCCTGACAGTGGACGGAGTGGTTTTGGGGCCAGGCTTGGACACCGAGTTATCTGTGTGACTTTGTATCAGTTTTGTATCATTGTAAAAAGGGGTGGAAAATAGGCTGTGCCTTCTGGTGCCTGGGGGGGGTATTAAAAATTCAGACATTCAGACCAGATGTGCCCCGGTGGGGGAGGGGGCGGAGGGGGGCTGCGGTGTACATCTTGGCATGTACTGCGGTGTAGCACTTGGGAGGCAGAGAGGCAAGTGGGTCTGGTCTCTGTGTGAGTTCGAGACCAGCCTGGCCTAATAGCGAGTTCCAGGACAGCCAGGGCTACACAGAGAAACCCTGTCTGGGGGGGGGGGGGGCGGGGGACACGACGACAAACAAACCCATCTCAGAACTGAAAACAAGTTCCTGAAACAAAGAAAACTCAGGACAGGTGGTCTTGATCTTGCCTTTGCATCTGAGCCACTGTTGGGCATTCTTACTGGATCTAGTGAGCTGGGTCTCTGCAGCGTGAGTCTCCATTTGGTCCTGTAGACAGAGTGAGCAGTGGGTTCCTTGGGGTGGGCTCAAGGAGCAGGTGGAGCTTGGGTGGGAGTTACTGCAGACTGAGGCTTCCACCCAGGAGGGAGGTGGGCAGGCGTGGGGATGGCAGTTGTAAGACCTGGCAAGGACCTGCTTCCCTGAAGTCAAGGTTCCCTCGGAATAGATGCTCTCCTCTCTCTGTGGAGATACACACCATCCCATCACACAGAGGGGGGCCCATATTCCCCATCCAGCACCCAGTGACCCCTGGTCTGTTGGCCTTGTCTGGGGAAGAGCCAGACAGCCTGCTGTGGCTGAGCTCTTGTGAAAGCCAGCTCAGGCTCCCTTCCTGCTTTGGCCTGGCCTGAACAGTTTCTGTTTGAGAAGCCTATTTCCCTGAGTAAGAGCTAGCAGGGACTGGTCTGTGCTCACAACCGGCCACTGCCCCCCCCCCCCCCCCCCCCCCCCCCCCCCCCCCCCCCCCCCCCCCCCCCCCCCCCCCCCCCCCCCCCCCCCCCCCCCCCCCCCCCCCCCCCCCCCCCCCCGTGAACTTCCAGGAAGGGCTGGGTCATTTGATTCTGTTTCTCCCTGCAGCTTTCTTGGAAGTCCTCTCTGACGGCTGATTATATTCCTATTACAAAGATGGAGAAACTAAGGCAGGAGAGGCTTAGTCTTCCCCCATCCCCACCCAGAAAGGGTTTCTCAGTGTAACAACCCCAACTGTCCTGTACTTGCTTTATAGACCAGGCTGGCCTTGAACTCACAGAGACCCACCTACCTCTTCCTCCTAAGTACTGGGATTAAAGGTGTGTGCCATCATGCCCACCTTGAAGCTTAGTCTCTTGATCGGGTTCCCCTCCCATGGTGCCCTGCACTCACTCTCTGCCATACTCACTTGAGACGGGGTCTCTCACTGACTCTAGGGCTCGGCTGACAGCCAACAAACCCCTATGAGTCTCATGTCTCACCCTGAACATGGGGCTCACTGATTGAGCTAGACTAGTTGGCCAGTGAGCCCAGGGATCCCCCTGTCGGCTCTGGTCCAGTGCACTGCCCTGTCCTCCAGTAAGCCTCTGCCTGGGCCACGCCCTCCTCCCACTCATGGGGCTGGTCCTGGCACCCTGCCTGGCCTGACTATGCTCATCCTCAGCACTCAGCCCAGATGCCCACTCCAGCTGACAGTGCCCTCTGTGGCATCTGCCCTCCTGTCCTAGCTCTCCGGGCAGTGCCCTCTATCCAGAACCAGGGCTGGGATTTCAGGGATGCCAAACACCGTAAAAGGGTGTTACAGAAATACAAGCAGGCCAGAGGGATTTTTGTCCTTGGCGTGAGGACATGTTTGTGATGTCTCCTGCAGGGAAGTCTCAAGCTCCCCACAGTCATTCACCTTGAATCTGAGTTGCCAACTACCACTGGCTCCTCAACCCTCTCCCAGCTCTCCCCTCAGGCCTCGGTTAGTCTCGAATCATTATGTAGTTGATGATCTTGAACTTCCGGTCTTCCTGCCTCCACCTCTGAAGTGCTGAGATTACAGGTGTGCACAACTCTGCCTGATTTACATGGTGTATTCAGTGTGGGAATTGGGCTCAGGGCTTCAGGCATGCTGGGCAAGCACTACCCGGCCTAGCCCGCCCTCCTTGCTCTTCCCTTCTGTGACTGCTGTGGCTGCCTTCCCCTCAGCCCACAGCACTGGCCCCAGTGTCCTAAGAACTCACCCCATGTTAGAGATCCCTCCCATTTTCCCATTCAAACTTCTGATTCCAGAGCTCATGCCCCGGCCTTCCCAGAGGGACAGGACCGGGGAGAGGTGCCAGTTCCCAGGCGGGCTCATCTTTCTCCTTCACCGCAGACCCTTTGCTGTTACTGGGGTTTCTTTAAGACATTTGTGAGACCCTGGGAGTTGCCAGGCAGGGGTCTCCTGTGCGCTCTGTGCTCCCTGTGACACTGCATTCGCAGACTTACCGATGCCTGTCTTTGTGCCGTAGGTTATCCTCATGGTTCACTGGCTGCTGACAACCTGGTGAGTGACTCTGGGTGTCTGGCTGCATCTCCTGCCAGCCTGGTCAGGTCCCATCCTACAGGGTTTCAGCCAGTCACAATTGGCCAATCCATCTGCCCAGGGCTGGGGCTGCCATTGGCCCCTGCAGTAGTGTGTGCCAACCAAACCCCTATGTGGTGCTCCAGGATACAACTTGACCTTCCCTGTCACTTTCTGTCATGTGTCTGGAGCTTCCAGGAAGATTGCTCTGCCAAAACCAAGTCACTGAGATCGCGTGTGTTTTGCAGGCTTTGAAGTGCTGTGCGGGTGCCAGCAAAGCTGTGAGTGCTGTAAACAGCGGAGGGGGTCACTTTCCCTGAGGTCCCACATTGGTGTCTAGGCTAAGACAGGCCTGGAAAAAATACCAGGCCTCATCGCCCAATTGCCAGTCCCAGCCCTGCTGCTCTCAGGTCCCCAAAAAACCCAGGACACCTGTGGCTCCTCGTAGCTCTCCCAGCTCCTCCAGCATCACTCAGAGCCTGTGGCTCCCCCTAGCTCCTCCAGCATCACTCAGTCAGTATCTGTGGCTCCTCCTACTTCCTCAGGTATCACTCAGAGCCTGTGGCTCCTCCCATTTCCTCCAGCATCACTCAGAGCCTGTGGCTCCTCCCAGGCACATCTCACCTCACCCTCTACCCTAAACCTCTTCAACTCAGGGTCTGGGCTTGGCTTCCCTTCCCTGAGATTCTCATTTCTGTATAACTCAGCCAGTTTTGCTATCCACTCTCCTTGGTTCTGCTCTTGGTGCCTCACCTATTAGGTGTGTGCCTCCGAATCTGTGAAATGAGGCTCATGGGAACACCTCCCTCCAGAAGCAGCTGTGAATGAATGGATTTAGAGTGTGTGGGGCAGAGCCAGGTCCCAGGAAAGCCCCATGTTAACTGTGATAAGCCACTCTGCAAGCAAACATCAGTTGACAGTGATGCCCTGAAATCGACAGCAGGGAGGCTGTGGGTCAGGCTGGGGGATCTAAGGCAACTTTGAGCTCCAAGATAACAAGAAATGGCTGCACAGTCAGGAAACCAAAGCTACAGGGGCAGCCAGGAGGTAAGGGTGGGGCTCATGGGAGCCCCATAGACCACAGCATAGACGGCATTCCAAACAGGCCAGGGAACTGCCAGGAAGGTTGGCGTGGAGGAATCACAGGATCTGGCCCACACACGGCTTGCTGTCTCAAGAAGTGCCAGCAGAGGGGCAAGAGTGACAGTAAGACCTGCACAGAGGAGCTGCGGGCCCTGTACCAGCAGGAGAGGGTGGATGAGGCCAATTCAGGAAGCCAGTGGCCTGTTCTCAGGAGACTAAGGCCCTGGAGCAGGAGGAAGGAATTGTGGCTGCTCAGGGTGGTGATGGCCTGATTGGTGTGTCTTTCTGTGCAGGGGCTGCTTAGTGTTCCCAGGCTCCTATGCCTGGAGCAACTTCACTATCCTGGCCCTGGGCGTGTGGGCTGTAGCCCAGCCGGACTCTATTGATGCCATAGGCATGGTGAGTAGGGAGTGGGGTAGGAGAGAGCAAGGAACTAGCTTCATCCGTGTGCCCCATATCCACCCCAGGCTTCTCTCTTCCTCTGTTCTAAAGCCTTGTACGGAAGCCTCCCAGGATGGAGAGCCACTAGCTGGGCTAACTATACAGCGCCCCACCACATAGGGTGGAGGCCACTGAACCCCAAGACTGGCTATCCTCCCAAGCAATCTGACCTGCTTCAGGGTTGTCTTCTCGGGGAAAAGGATGGGACTGGGAGGCCTGGACAAGAGGGAGTGCCCTTCCTTTACGGGCTTAGAGTTGACACTGACCTGAGGTGCCCAGCTTTTCACAATGAGGCCATGGCTTCTTAGGACTGCAGAGGGATTTTTCCTTGTTTCCTAGTAGTATAAACAAATGGTACCGACACCAAGGGACTGTCCCTCTCAAATTCTGGAGCCAAGTGTTGGCCTCCATCATGTCCCTAGTGGCAGGAAATGAGGGTAGGGAATTCTGGGGCAACAGGCTAGAGCCAGATTCCTGTGTCCTGCTCCTAGGACATGCAGGTGTCATCATAAGATCTATTCCAGGCTGATATATGTGAGGGGAACTTGGGGTCTGGGGATGGTGTCAGTGCCCATGATCCCATGGTGGTGTTTCTTGCAGTTTCTTGGCGGCTTGGTGGTTACCATCTTCCTGGACATTATCTACATCAGCATCTTCTACCCAACTTCTGTCATTAACGACACTGGGCGCTTCAGCGCCGGCATGGCCATCCTCAGCTTGCTGCTCAAGCCCTTCTCTTGCTGCCTCGTCTACCACATGCACCGTGAGCGAGGGGGTGAGCTCCCACTCCGCCCAGGTAAGTCCTACTCTGTTCTGCCTCTCCCTGGTCCATCAGGCAAGCAGTCATTGCTGCAAAACCCTGAGCCCCAACTGTCAGTCTGGTGTGACTCTTCCTGCTGTCAGACTTCCCTCAGTCCAGAGCGTGTGAGAAGCCAGGAAGGTGTTCAGCTCCCAAGGGCAGCAGGCAGCCTCTGGTTTGGGCCTGCAGGTGGCTGCAGGAACAACTCCTTCCTTGTGTTTCCACCTAGCCCTGGCTCTGAAGCTGTGCTCTCCTGCCCTGTGGGATGTGCCCATCACGGGCAGACACAGTGCTAGGCAGGCAGTGATGATGCCGCGCCTGGGCAAGCAGGTTTTACTGTTGGCCAAGGGAGCCCTGTTCTTCACTGCCGTAGCCCACACTGTCCTCTCTGACCCTGTTCTCCTGGGGGAGCTGGAGGGTCCCCAGGTGGCCTGTGGCTCCCCACTCTGGATTACCTCAGCACCATCTAGACCTGCCCAGGAGTGGAGGGAACAGATGAGAGGCTGGAAGCCTGCCGCCCTTGGGACTTGTTCACCGTCCCAGGACAAATGTGCCAGGGGAGGAGTGTGAGAGACGTGGCTGCCTTCCATCTTGTCCTTACCCTCAGCCTTAGCCTTCTGGGAATAGCAACTGTGCCAAGCTCTGGGGCTTCTAGATGCAGTGCTATGCATGGATCCTTGTGCCTGGCCGAGAGCAGGAGAAACCTGTGGTCCAGGGGTAGATTCCCGATGGGCTGCTGGGAGCAGAGGTGGCACAGCAGCCAGTAGCCATGAACCATAGGACCTGCTACTTAGGTTTGAACTCCAGTGTCCTCTATTTCAAGTCACATACAAGCCACATACTACCAAATCAGTTGTCTCTCTGACCCTCAGGTTCCTCATTTTCAAATCTGTGCCTATACAGACATGAGTATTGGGTGGATACTGTCTGCTAATGGCATGGCGTCAGGGCTTCTGCTGCTGCCGTTGGTATTAGGATGCCGAGCACTAACCACGGCCTAGGTTGGATGTGTCTGTGCTCAGCAGAAGGCCCCACGGTCTCATTTCCCTGTTCTCTAGGTTTCTTCGGACCTTCTCAGGAGCACAGTGCCTACCAGACAATTGACTCATCAGACTCACCCGCAGCCCCCTTTGCCAACCTGGAGGACAAGAGCCAAGCTGCCCCGCGGGGGTATTGAAGCTGTCCCCTGGTCTTCCTGGTGCCCAGCAGGATGCTTGTCACCTCCTTTCTGGACCTATAGTGGTGTGTCCTCCGTTCCCCACCACAGATGTGGTCTGAGCCGCCGAGTGCCTTGGAGGTCATAATCCTCTGGTTTCCCAGCTGAGAAGAGCCAAGCCTTACCTCTCCAGGGAGCCCTCCCTTCAGTGTACCTGTAACCCCTGGCTTGACCTGCGGTCGCTTTCTTCACCTTCTGCTCCATAACTATACCATGCCCCTGCCGAGCAGTGCAGAGTGCTGCAGGGCCAGGCCTCTCAGGCCCTAAGATGGTCCAGCCCTTCCTAGAGGCTCTGCGAGCTTCTGGTCCTGCTCAACCTCTCCTGCATAGGAGCAAAGTCCCTGTGCCTGTCACTGCCTGATGGATTGGTGCCTGGGACCCCAGGCCTGGAGGCAGTAGCTCTGCAGAGGCTCCTTTCAGAGCCCTGGCATTAAAATTCAGGGGTTCTACGGCTGGGCTGTGTTTGAGCCATGTTTCGTCTCCCAGCTGGGATCTGGCTTACCCTCTTGGTTATGATTTCACCTGTGAATCAGTTGCAGGGTGAATCTGAGTTGAGCCACCCTTTATATTGGACCTGGTGGAAGGAAGGGCCCCCTATGGGTCTGGCCTGCCTCCAGCCAATGGGAGAGACAGGAAGTGCTGGTCAGCATGGCATGTGGCCGCTCTCCTTTGACTCAGATGACCTGGCACTGGTCTAAATCTTGCTCTGTCACTCAGCTGACATGTTCTAGGAGAGAGGTGGTTATGACCTCCAATGACAGGGGTCTGAGTGTCTGGTACCCAGCTGCACTGCCCCTGGAGCCAGCTGTAATACTGAGCTATGAGGCAAGGCATGGGTGGTTTCCTCTACCCCTGTGTTCTGACCACAGTTGACTGCCTCCTGACATGGCAGAGCCAGGGTCCCACTGTTACTCAACTGCCAGTTCCTGGGGATAGATACGTGAAGACTTGTGGGAGCCACAGGCGGAGGTGAGGGGCGTGCAGAAGCATGAGGCTGTTGACAGGCAGGGAGGCTGAGTGACAGCAGCTGTCATCCTCACTGAGCCTAGTGTGAGCAAACGGGGTGAAGAGCAGCATGTACCACTAGAGGGCGTTAGTTGTGCCTCAGCCTCTCAGAATCCTTAGGTTTGTTTAGAGTGTGTGCAGCATGGTCTAAAATATGAGCTAGGGCCCAGGGAGACGCTCAGCAAACAAAAGGCGTCTACTATCAAGCCTCGAGGTCTGCGCTTGGTTCCCGGAACTGAGCTCCGAAAATTGTCCTCAAACTCCACACATGCCATGGTGTGAGGTCGCCCCCCCACACACAAAAAAAATACATGTTAAAAATAACCCAGAATTTTGAAAACACACCCTAGGACACATGGTCAGGTTCACGATTGCAGGGACATTGGAGGAGGAAGCACCTAGGCTCACGGGAACAGGATGAACACCCGAGTTGTTTTCTCATGTTCCTGTAGTTCCTAGCAGGAGGAAGGCCTGGGGTCAGTACCCGCGTCCTCAGAGTAGGTCAGGCTTGTGGAGACGGAAAGTGAGGGAGGGGCTAGGCCAGGTCACAGAGCCTGCGACCATGTCCTCCTGGTCCCAGGTTCCCACACCTGACTGACTTTAGGAAGGCCAGAGGAGGGGCATCTCCCGAAGGGCTCTCCAGAGCAGATTGAGGCTAAAGCAGGGGAGCCGGGTGTTCTCATTGGTCAAGAAGAGAAAGCTACTCCTAAAAGCCGTCTTCTCATCTCCACGTAGATGCCATGGCACTTGGGCACACACACACAATAAAAATGTAAATTAAAGTGAGGATAAGACTCGTGCGACTCGGACTAGCGACGGTTGAGAACAGTGTCACCCCGATGTTCAATAAATGTGACAGCCTGTTGTATGTATCGCTGTGATACCTCACAAGACGAAGGGTGACCAGTCCACACAAATAGCTGTTCCTTTAACACCTGTGTAAGCATCGTGGGGGTGCCTTTGCAGGATTTCAGAAGGCTGGAGGTACCCTCCCAGGCTCCATTCTGTGAAGCGCTGTGTGAGTCAGAGACGCTCTGCGGGGTCAGTGGACGGCTCTGAGACTGGAGGCCGGAGAGAGTTTAGTGCTTTCCTGCCCCAGTGACTGGAAAATGGACTAAAATTCTGTACATTCTGAATTAGCTATGACCCAGAATATGAAAGAGTCCGTCTGTCGGTGCCTCTACCCTCCTCCCCCACGCCTCCCAGGGTTCCCAGCTCTCAAACTGATCTGGGGACACACACAGACTTGGAAAGAGGAGCCTTGGGCAAGGGCTAGAGCGAGCGGATCTCAGAGTTGGAATGTGCTGTATAGAGGCTGGGCTTATAGAGGCTGGGACGACTGGGAATTTAAAAAGAGGACATCCACTTCTACAGGTGACAAACTCGGCTTTAAAGCAGAAACTCAATGCAGCAGAGAGACTTGAGGACCAGTGGCCTGCAAGGCAAGTTTTAAGGACTCTCTCAGAAAAGCAGCCAGGAGACACATAGAGGTTCAGTGAGGTTACTGTTATGCCCAAATTCGTGAAGTCCCCCAAAAGCCAACAAGGAGACCGAGTCCCGTATGTAAAAGCAAAGAGCCTTTATTTTATGCAAGTTTGCAAACTCGGTCTCTCTGCATGTCCAATGTATTGGAATAAACAGAAAGCCCCGAGCTCAGTTAGAGTTGGGTTTTTATAGTAGTAAAGGTGGGGATAAGGGGTTTCTGAGGTTCAGGACCCCTGATTGGCTGACATTTGTCTAGGGGTGTCCTGGAGTGTGTGCTGGCAGGTGATCCTATCTACAGTGGTTGGAATGTTAGGCATTTTCTTTGGATGGTTTGTTCTTGGGTGGTGCTCAGGTAACCTCAGTTTGTGGTTCTTCCTGCAACCAGGTATTGCTTCAGGGTAAACTACTGAGACGCAGGTCTCCATTAAACTTATGGCTGAGTCCTACTCTGGCAGGTGATAATGGTTGGAAGTAAAGAACTTCCTTTGGCTGATCTGTTCCATATTTAGCTAACCCACTGGCCCCTACATTTATGAGATGAGGTTGCAGGAAGGTGGTCAAAAGGTTTAGAAAGATACTTGACATGGGTTTGTTTTGTTTTGTTTTTGAACCTTGTTTTTATTATTTTAAACTTACTTGTTTTACAGGATTCACTATGTAGTGCTGGCTAGCCTGGAACTCACAGACCCGCTGGCCTCTGCCTCCCAAGTGCTACCACACACACCTGGCTTGACACAGCCTTAGAAGAAAGGGGTAGGAAGAAGGCTAGAGATTAATTCGGTTGGAAAGATCCTACCTAGCATGCACAGATCGTGGGTTCAATCTCCAGCACCACTTAAAAAAAAAGGGGGGGTGTGTGTGTCGGGGGTGGGGGTGGGGTGGGTGTCACAGAAAGTTTGGGAATTTGTCTAAGGCCACCCAACAGCATAAGCCTTGTGACTTGCGTCCGGGCTCCTTTCTCTTGCCTGTCACAGAAAAAGCACACATTGCAGAGTACACTGCGGAGCAGAGGCTTGCAGTGTGGAAAATGCTCGAGGTTTGAAGGGAAGCGTGATGGACCAATATAGCAAAGTGTGCCGAAGAGAGGATGGGGCGTGGTTTCCAGCCACTTCTGGGGAGGACCTGCGGCCTGGAGACCACAATGTCAAAAAGAAGTCTGCTTATAGACATATGCCTTGGAACTGAGATGCAGGTCTTCGGCCAGAACCTCAGCTGCATGTGCAGCTCTTTCGGACCTAGGCACATGCATGCATCTGTAACTTTTGCTTGCGAACGTGCAAGGCACCCTGGGGGCGGGGCGGAGCTAGGCGAGCACGCTCACGTCTTTGAAATTCTTCCACCTCACACTCAACGTGGTCGTTAGCGGTCCCAGGCAGGGAGCCCCTCCCGGTTCAAACCTGATTGGTCAAAGGAAAGGTCCCAAGGAAGAGTGAGGGCAGGAAACTGGTCACAGGCTCCTGTGGTGAGAAAAGTGAGGCTCCTTATGGGGGCGTGGGGCTGAGAGGGCGGGACTTAAAAAACGGGCGTGGCAAGCGAGGCATCCCGCGCTTACAAACCAGCCCTCTCAGCAGAGCCGCCCAGCTGCGGGACTGTGCAACCGGCTGGTGGTCTTTCTAAATCCCAGTAGCTTCGTTTCTAGAACAGGGAAACAATCTTAGGACTGACGGCGGTGCAGAATAAACAGAATTCCTGCTAATGGCTGAGCTGGTGTTTAGCGTGGTTCAGTCACTTCACACGTTTATAAACGCAGCTGTGCGCCAGGCTATTCTGTATGCTGCGTGTGTATAGGAGGGACCATCATCTCTTCAATACACACAGTGACTGTAGGTGCCAGGAGGGGCACATGCAGGTCACAGGGAGTAAGGGGTGGGCAGCATGCTGCCATGGATGATAGAAGGACTCGCTGCATTTAAATTCGGGAAGGAAGGAATAAGGTAGAGGGGAAGGGACGGAGGGAGAAAAAAAGAAAAGGGAAAAGGCTGGCGATGTGGTTCTGTAGTGTGCTTGCCTAGCATCCTAGCATGCAGAAAACCCAGAGTTCGCGCTCCAGCACGGCACAGACTATACTAGGTGTGGAAGCACAAGCCAGTAATCTCAGCACTTGGGATCATCCTTGGCTATACATAGCAAACTTAGGGTCAGCCTGATCTCCATGAGAAACTCTCAAAACAGAAGAGAGACTGTCGAGATGGCTCCGTGGTTAAGAGCACTCACTGCTCTTCCAGAGGACCCAGCTTTGGTTCCCAGCACCCATGTGATGGCTCACAGCCACTTGTAACTCCAGATCCTGGGGATCTGATATTCTTAGATGGGCAAGGTGGCACACGCCTTTAATCCCAGTACTTGGGAGGCAGAGGCAGGTGGAGTTTTGTGAGTTTGAGATCATGCTGGTCTATATAGTGAGTTCTAGGCCAGCCAGGGTTACATAGACCTTGCCTCAAAAGAAAAAATCAAAAAAGAAAATATAACAACAGAAAGGGAAGAAGCTATGTGGGGCAGTGAGCAGAGACCCCAAAGGGCCTATGCAGAGAGGGCCCATGTCCAGAATAGCCGAGGGTGTGGCTATTACGAGGAACAGTGCCCTGTGACCAGGGTATCTTCTTTCTCCACGGAGCCTGACCGTTCCTTTCCCTGTCCTTATACTAAGAATCTAACCCAGGTCTTCATATATTTCAGGCCAGTGTGCGACCCTGAGCTAAACCCCACCCCAACCCATCTAATGGAATGCACAAACTCTCCCACAGCCCATGGAGCCAAGACCTGCCACCAGATACAAGGAGAATGTACCCCCAAAGACTATGACCGCCCTGGGGCCAGGTAAGAAGCTCACTGAACTTGGCAAGGCAGTGGCAGTGGGTCCTCCCCAGGTACCTACTTAGCGCCCTCCTAGCTCTGAAGATTTGCTTCCCAAGGTTGGCTTGGTTGGTACAGCATCATCCCAAAGGAGGGTTCTTGAGAAGGATGGAACGGTGGGGCCTCAGGAGGGAAGGGTCCCAAAGGGGAAGATCTTGGGAGGGCACCTTCTCTGAAGGGTGGAGTCCCTGTGGGGTAGGGCCTCAGAAATATAGGTCCCTGAGCCAGAGTTACTAGAGAGTGAGATCCTGGGAGTGAGGGATTTCAGACTATAGGAAGGCCACAGAGCTGGTTCAGTCAAGGGTACAAACAGCCCCAAAACAAATTCAGATTCTGATTTCCCCTCTCTTTTTGGTTTTTCAAGGCAGGGTTTCAGGCTGGAGAGATGGCTCAGTGGTTAAGAGCACTGGCTGCTCTTCGAGGTCCTGAGTTCAATTCCCAGGTGGCTCACAACTATCTGTAATGAGATCTGGCACCCCCCCTCTGGCTTGAGGGCATACTTGAAGGCAAAATGTTATATACATAATAAATACATCTTTTTTTTAAAAAAAAGACAGAGTTTCTCTGTGTAGCCCTGGCTGTCCTGGAACTTACTCTGTAGACCAGGATGGCCTTGAACTCACAGAGACCCACCTGGGTCTGGTGCTGGGATTAGGTGTGCACCACTACCACCTGGCCAGATTCTGATTTTTATGCCGGGATCAACTGAGGTCACTGAAGGGCATCCAAGGGGGTACTGCTAGTTCTGGGTGACCACTGGGTAAATTGTAAGCTGGTCACCCTTCACTTTTTCCTTTCCCCCCTTTCCCCCTTCTTCTCAGTTGGTTGCCCCCATATCAGACAGCTCTTCTCTGCCGCCTTGTCTTCCGTGCTTTCTGTAGCTGGCCTCATGACAAACCATACCACCACCTGGCTTTGAGGCCCAGGGCCTGGCCTGCACATTGGCTACCTCAAGGCTGTGGAGCTGAAGTCCTGACTCCCTCCTACCAGGAGCCCTGCCACTCCCCAGCTCTGAGGCTTGGATACCCACTTGTCTTACCGGTGAAGCCATCACCTGGTCCTAGGGTGTGGCTGTCTCTTTCTTCCTTATAGAGCTGAAGAGACCCTGGAGGAACATGGACATCAGCCTGGGGAATAGAGGAGGTCGGAGGATGCCCGTATTCCAAGCTGCCACACGCCCCCAAGGCTCAGCGTTATGCCAGAAACCCTACCAAGTTCAAAGTAATCTGGCCAGCCCCCGCCCCCATCTGGCCCCTGCCCTGAAGGACACAACCGACCAACTAGGTGACACAGGTCTTTGGCAACAGAGTAACCTACAGCTTCCAGCAGGGAGGTCCCCGGGGAGGCCCCGAGAGCCCTTTGCACAGCAGAGTAATCTGTGCTACCGAGGGATCACTAGTCCCCATCTGCGCAACAGCTGCCTGCTACCAACAGGCCCATCCACCTGCCAGAGGCAGACACTCCAGGTCACAGACACCCTCTGCTTGGACCCGAGACTCTCTGGGGGCTTGGCACCTCTTGACAAGTGCACACGGCCTGGCCCCAGGCCCTGGTGTGGTTCAGGGAGCAGGGTACCCAGGCTCATGGGGGAGCCCCTTACCTTGGAGGATCTGTCTGTGTCTGCCCACAGCCAGTCTTGGGCCCATTCCTATTCCATGTGCAATGCTGACCACTGGCTGCTGGACTCCATCCCACACCTAGAGCCTGAAACAACCCGTTCAGGAAGCCCAACATCCAAGAAGCACCCAGCCCCTACACAGAGGGGGCCCCACACTGGTGGTAGCCAGTCAACCCCTGCCCAACATTGGCCCAGTCTCCTGGAGACTCTTGAGGTCCAAGCTAGACTCTCAGAGTCCCCTGTGTTCAATCTCCTGTTACATGAGGCCACTCTGGGAACACTGCCTGGGGATTTCTCTGCCTCAGACCAGGAGATTCTTTCTACCCCACACCTTGGGGCAAGAGAGAAGGGCTCCCCAGGCCTTCCATACAACAAGAGGAACAGAGAGCACTTCAGTGTCACAGGAGAGGCAGGGAGCAGGGAGGCCAGACTCCAATCTCCAACCTCCTTCAGTGTCCTGCCTGGGCAGGAAGGAAGAGAGAAGGCCCCACAGGAAAAAACAGGCAGGGATGGGGAGAGGATGGCCTCCTGCCCATCAAATACAACCCCAGCTCAGAGAACTCGGCAGGTAGGGGCCCCCAGATGCGGGGAGAGGGGATAGGGAGCAGGGAACCTTGGCTAGAGTTGTCACTCCTACTCTCTAGGCTGAGAACTATCATGGCTTTTGTTTCTGCAGAACAAGGCTCAAAGTGTCAGGACCTCAGATCCCCAGGCAGCTTGGTGAGGCCCTGTTGTGTGGGAGTGGGGGTAGTCAGGGGCCACTCCAGGGACAGCTCCTGACCCATCTCCCTGTGCTATCAGGACTTTATGGAGATAGACATCTAATGGCAGAACCTCGGCAGGATTTCAAGGGGACAGAGCTGTCTTCATACATAAGAAACCAGGGACCTCCAGGGCCCAAAGACAAGCCCTACGCCCCTGGGTTTGGATGGCTGGGAATTGTGGACATCAATGTAGTGGGGCAGTTGTCCTCTCTGGGAAGCCTGTTGCTTCGGGGGCAATGGGAAGGGGGCGATTTTAAGTCCAGGCATCAGCAAAGAGAGTTCTTTAGGTCTGCAGCTGGGACTTCTGCTGTGGACGGCTGTCACCTTCATTCCTGCAAAAGCCACATGAATGGAGTCCCAGGGAGCTGAAAGTTGTGTCTGCCCCTCATCAGTCTTGCTCTGTCCCCAGCCGGAAACTGCTGTCCAGAAGCTTCAGAGCCTGGAGGCGCTTGTCCCAGAGGCACCAGGCAAGAGCTGAGGCCGTAGTAGCTCAGAACCACAGGTGGCTGATTCAAAAGAGCCTCAGACTACTGCGCTGTGTCCTACGGCTCCGCGAGGCCCGGCTAGAGGCAGCTTGGGGACAGCATGCAGAAGCCCTGCAGGCCTGGAACTTCCAAGAGGTCGGTGTTCTCTAGCTTGGAGCTTGGGGGGCAATGCCATGGCTCTGGTGTGCCTGAGAGAGTGTCTGCGGGCCCAGGTTGCAGCTCATGACTGACCTCTCCAGTTCCCTGTGGGCAGTTTTTTATTAGTGATTTGCTAACTTGGCCGGGGAGGCTGTGTGGGTGTTCTTCCTCCTTGGCTATTTCTGAGGAAATGGGGTAGCATTAGGATAGGGTCAGTGCTTGGGCAGCTGACAGGAGCCTCAGTGCAGGCCTAAACCGGCAGGTGCCCCTTGTCTTTTGACCCAGGGGAGCCATATCACTTTGCAGCAGAAACAGGAGCAACCCCACAGCCAGGCTGCATCACCATTCCTTGCTTCTAAGGGAAGCCCTTCCTTGGGAAGAAAAGCAACCGTGGACCTTGCCTGTAAATGCAGGTGAGCTTGGGCACCAAGACTGGGCAATGTGGCCTAGGCAGCTGGTGGCCTGCTTCCCTGCCCCCTCCCTGCCCCTGCCCACAAAACAAACAAACAAACCCCAAAGCCAGCAATCCTGAGCTGCTAAGGGGGCCTCTGTGGTGTTTTGAGATGGGTGGAAAAGGTGTTTGGGGTCAGGTCCCACCTAGCTTGGGGACCATGGGGAGGAATTGAGATTTTATTCTAGGAGCAAAGGGGATGCCTTAGGAGGCTGAGCAAGTACTTAAGCTGATTGGACTCTAGATGAGCGAAACACCCCTCTGGTCACTGAGTCGGAACCAACAGAATGAGTGAGACAAGGGTGGCCGTGGGAGACCGGGTGGGGTGATGCTGGGGTTTCCAGGCCCTCGGGGATGACATTTGTAGCCTGAGCAGATACCACACTCAGTTCCTCACAGCCTTCTGTTTCAAAGATGAGAAACAGAGACTCGGAAAGATGAAGGCCAGGCCCACAGAAGTGTGTGTGTGGCAGGAGGCAGGTGACTGTAGGTGTCACCAAGGGTAGTTTCCCTTCCCTCTCTAGGTGCTTTAGGGCCTGGCAACGGCTCGCTCAAAGAGCGGCCCAGTACAGGAGACACCTGGCCCGCCAAAGAGTGAGGCTCCTGAGGATATGCCTGGGACAGTGGACGAAGATGAGTCAGCTCCAGGCCTCAGATGTGGCAAAGGTGGCTCAGCTGGCCTTCTACCAGCGGAAGACAGGTGAGCCATGGCAAATACAGGGGGGCCCTTCCCTCCAACCAGAGCTCCAATTGGTTAAGCTCTGGAGCCCAGTGAAACTCATGAATATTATAATAAGGGAGAGGGCCGAGCTGGGCCTTGGGGAGTCTGGGGGGCTTGAGGGGGGCTTGCTGGGAAGGGTTCTCAGAGGGAGCAGGCCTTTTCTGGGCTGCATCCCTGTCCCCTTGTAAGCTGTTCTGGGCAGGGGACTATTCTGTCTTAGTGTTGAGTTGTCCCATATTCTACCTTGAAGGTATGTAGCCCTCTGTTCCAGGAAGGCCCTGATCTGCTGGAGGGGGACATATAGTCCCTTCCCAAGCTGGGGAAGATGGGGACTTGAAGCAGCCTTGTGGGGAACCTGTAGAGGACACGGGAAAGCAGTGTCTATGGTGGGGAAGCCCAGGAGGCCTGAGGCTGCAGCTGCATGTTTGTGAATAGCAATTTAACCACTTCCTGCCTTCTTCCCAGGGAATAAGACCCTCAGCATCTTAGTCCCAGGAACTGCCACCACCCATTGCCTAGAGACAGTGGTCCAGGCCCAGCAGCTACCCATGGAGCCAGGTCGGTGCTCCCTATGGGAAGCCTGCCAAATGTTGGCCCTGCACCGGGTCCTGCTGCTCTGGAGGACGCGACTCTACCAGCACCAGCAAGCCGTGTAGGTGACCAGAGCTGATGACACAGGGTCAGCCCCGGTGCAGTGTGGATACATGGCCAGTGTCCTTTAGGTCCTGTTCAACATCCCAGCCTTCCCGTGGCCTTGGCAGGAGGCCTGATATGATGCATTGTGTCCCCCAGCAGGTATCGGGCCCTGGGAGGTGGCTGTGGGGCACTGAGACAGTGGCCAAGCCTAAAGCTGCTGGGGCCACTTTCTCCCAACTGCCTTTACAAGGATAGGCAGCGCCAGGGTTCTGAGCTCAGGCTGACTGGTGGCTGTGGGAAAGGGAGGCTGGGGTCATTGGGGGCCAGCTTCTAGGCTAAGCTGTTAGGGAGAATAAGCCAGCCTTTACAGAGCTAAGAATTCCATTTTAGCAGGGTGGTGGTGGTGCACTCTCTTAATGCCAGCGCTCGGGAGGCAGAGGCAGATGGATCTCTGTGAGTTTGAGGCCAGCCTGGTCTTCAGAGTGAGTTCTATGACGATCAGGGCTACAAAGAGAAACCTGTCTCAAGAAACAAAACAGGGGGCTGGAGAGATGGCTCAGCGCTTAAGAGCATTGCCTGCTCTTCCAAAGGTCCTGAGTTCAATTCCCAGCAACCACATGGTGGCTCACAACCATCTGTAAAGAGGTCTGGCGCCCTCTTCTGGCCTGTAGGCATACACACAACAGAATATTGTATACATAATAAATAAATATTAAAAAAACAAATGGAAGGAGGAGGGAGGGAGGGAGGAAGGAAGGAAGGAAGGAAGGAAGGAAGGAAGGAAGGAAGGAAGGAACTGAAGAGAATTCCATTCTAGCAAGCATGGTGGCACATATTTCAGGATGACTACAAACTATTGACAATCCTCCTGCCTCAGCTTCCTGAGTGGTGGGGTTACAATGGTGAACAACCATGCCTAGCTTGTGTTTATTTATTTTTTGTTTTATTTTGCTTTGCTTTGCTTTGTTTTTAGGGAAAAAAGTGTTTGTAGTTTTTGTTTTCTTTTAAACTGAGTTCCCCACTAGAGGGCAGTGGGCTGAGCCGTCACTAGAGTGCTTGTTTGTGTTGATGGGCCCCGGGCATCAGATCCCCAGGCTCATCCATACTGAATAAGGGCTCCACCGCTGAGCTAGGACATCATCTCTTGAAGCTCTGAGTGATCCATCAGTTTCAACTGGCCAAGGCCTTCCCACTGGGCCCTCTCACAGCAACCCTGTCCCAGTCGTGGGTGCTGAGAGTCCCGGAGACTCACCTGGCCCTCTCCCTTAGCTCCTTTTTGCAGGGCATGCAGAAGCGGGTTCTGCAGTACTTCCTGAGGCAGTGGCGCTTGAGGGTCTGGGGTCTGGACCCTCCCTCAAGCAGCCTGGAGACCATATTAGCACCGGAGCCATGGGACTACAGCCTGGGAGGGGAGGCCTGGCCCAGCTGCAGAACATCAGAAGGGTCACTGGAGAAGGTGAGGGACTGGAGTGGGTTGGAGATGGGGGGACCCAGGACTCACCCCTTATCCCCAGATTTCCAGGGCCCCCACCCTCCTGGAGGCTTCCTGGTTGGTGTCCTGTGGGCAGCCGGGGGACAGAAGAGGGACTGTGCCTTCTTCCCTGGCAGGTGCGGGTCCAGCAGACTCAGGGCGCAGCAGTGAGGTGGTACAGGTGTACTCTCCAGAGGCGGTAGGAACCCCTCCCCAGAAAGGGAGAGCCCTGTTGGCCACTGTGCAGTGATGCCATTGCTTCCTGACTGACTGCTTCCCCCCCCCCCCCCCACTCACTACCCCCCCATCCCACCTTGGCCTTCCCAGCAGCAGCCTGTATAGTCTGCATCTCAGGAGGGGTCCCTGCCCACATCCCAGTCAGCATGGTCCCCAGATTCAGGGCCATTTCACTTCTCCCGTCCTTCTGCCCATGTGAAGGCGGGAGCTGGACCAAGACATTGTCGTATAGTTCTCTCCGGATGCTCTCACAGAGCAGGGCTCGAGAAGGGACTGCCTATATCCCAACACTTGCTTTGTGCCTCTGGCTGTGTGATTTGGGGCAAGTTACTTCTCTGTGTCTCTGCTTCCCTTTCTGTAAAATGAGGACAATTACAGCGCTGACTCCAATGGCTGAGCCCTGGACTTGGCACTGGAGGTTGAGAATCCTTTTCTAGCCCTGTCACCTGTCATCGTGTCCTTTGGAAGGGCCCTAGACCCCTCTAATCCCCAGCAACCCATCCTCTCTTTGATTAGAACTTGGAAAAGGACCGCCCGGGATATACCTGTTGCTGAGGGGAGGATGGAGGTGGGAAGAGGGTGAGGCTAGCCCAACAGCTGTGCTCAATGTGAACACTCCCCTTCCTTCCCAGTATCCTCAGCTGGAGCCACTGGACCGCAATCAAGGGCCCTGGAGAGAGCTAGCTGCTCACTGGCCTCAGGCCTGTGATGGGCAAGTGCAGAAGAGTCCAGGATCGGGGTCGGGGCTGGTGCCAGTGGCCCTGGCAGAGTGAGCCAAGGAATGGGTGGGGCTATCCTGGAAGAGGAAAAGGCCAGTGTCCCTTAGAGACACTCAGAATTCCTGAGCCATTTCTCAGAGCCCAGGGGTCTGGGTTACCAGACCTCATTACAGATGGTTGTGAGCCATCATGTGGTTGCCGGGAATTGAACTCAGGTCCTCTGGAAGAGCAGTCAGTGCTCTTAACCACTGAGCCATCTCTCTATAAAGATTTGTTTATTTATATGTATAGTGTTCTGCCTGCATGTCTGCCTGCAGGCCAGAAGAGGGCGCCAGACACCCATTACAGATGATTGTGAGCCACCATGTGGTTGCTGTGCTGTGTAGATCTTAAGTCACCTAAGTACTCTGAGTGTCTGTTCCGCTATCTGTAAAACAGGGATAGTACTGTACATGCTACAGGGGTGACTGGGATCCCATGAGGTAGTTCATGGCAAACTCCAGGCCAGAACAGCACCCCCTCTTCATCCCTGTCACCTTTGCTTTGCCTGGCCTCCAGGAGTTGCACTCTTGAGGTCAGGAAGACAGAGTCCTGGTACTCTCAGGGCCATGATGCTAGTTAGGCGGAAGGAACGGGCTTGCTGCAAGCAGCCTGGGAGAGAAGCCTGTCTGGGAAAGGAAAGGGGATGGCTGGCTTCCCAGGATTCTGGCTCAGCATAAAGGAGGACCTTTCTCTTGGTAGTGAGTTTGACCCCAGCCAAGTTATAGTCACATCTCCAGGAGGCCCCCACCCCTTGCTGAGCAACAAATAGCCCCCAACACTTGAACATTTTATGTAACTAATTAACTTCAGTTCTGGGGATAGAATCCAAGGTCTTGGCATGCTGGGCTAAGGCTCCATCCAGTCCACCAGAGCCACGCTTGGAGTCACACTCGCAGCCCCCACATACGGTTTTGTTTTAATTAATGAACTAGTTAATTGGTTGTGCATGTGCCACAGCTCTTGTGCGGACGTCCGATTTTCTCCATCGTATACATGATTCTAGGGGATTTACCTCAGGTTGTCAGGGTCGGCAGCAAATGCCCTCACCCACTGAGACAATTTGCTGATCAATTGAGTTAGATTCCCCAGCCCTTGGTTTTTCCAGCCCAAGCTAGCCCAGGCTAGCCCCAGAGATCCCCCTGCTTCAGCGCTGAGATAACAGGCATGTCTGCAGCTGTCGCTTTGAATAAACACAACACACAAACAAGAGCTGACCTGGGCCCCCTCCTGCTCCCTTGCAGCTATTTCCAGGCCTGGTGTGAACGCATGAGGGATGTAGAAGCGTCCCAGGGCCAGCAGCAAGGACAAGCCTTCCAGGACGACCTGAGAAGAGGCCTGGGGGCCACACTTGCTAGCTCACAGGAGGCCTGCAGAATGGGGCCCCTGGCACAGGATCGGTGCATGGCCCAGGCCTCTGTCCTAGGCTGGAGAAGCTTTCCTCAGCAGCATGGAACTGACAGAGAGCTGAGGAGGGCCCAGGCCCAGCAGCCTTTTGTGGTGTGGAGAGTCACCCTGGGACAGTGCTGTGAGGTCCTGCAACAGGGAGGAAGGAGAGTTCAAGTCCTGACCGCAGTCCAGGTGGCCATGTGCTTGGTCCTGTGGGTGCACAAGTCCTACCTAGGCCACATCCACCAAGCTCAGGCTGCACAGCAACTGACAACCAGGTTAGTGCCCAAGGCCCTAGGGCAGCCTCACACTGTTCTTCCAGGTCAGGTTTTGGTAAGGGTGGGGCATAGTGGGTGGCTGAGTGGTGCTTGCTGAGTGTCTGGGTGGCAGGAGGGCAGAGACATCTTGATGTTTGGCATGGGTCCCAATTGTGTCACTTTCTAGTATGGCCCGTCCTTGGAAAAGCTTATGACATTAGCTGCCTTGCCTTGCAGCCCTGCCAAGTGTGCCCATGTGTTCAAGACAGCAAATGGGCAATGCACTGGCAGGGGAGGGGAACAGAATATAAGGTGTTAGTTAGGACTGTCCTCCCTGTCCTTTAAACAAGATGCTTGCCCCTGATGTGTGTGATAGTCTACCTACTTCCAATACCGTACATGCGTATTTCATGGATTATACAGAATAGGGGTGGGAGGGGCCCGGGGTGGGAGGGCCCTGGGGTGGGAGGGCTGGGACCTGGGCATTTGCCTTTTGCAGAGCCCTAGAACTCAGGCTCTAATGGGCACCACCTTCTTCTCCAGGGTCCTAGAAGTCTGGATGCAGCTAGCAGTCTGGGGTCACGCCCAGCACACTGATGTCACCCACTGCTGGCAGAGGCTTCGGTGTCTTCTTAGGACATACTGGGTTCAGTGGCGACCAACTCACTGGAGACAGACCCAGGCACAGGGCATGAACTTCAGCAGAGGGCATCTCCTGCACCTGATGGACACCCCAAACTTTTTGATACAGGTGAGGTGGGCCCAGGTGTGTGTGCACTGTGTGGGGAGTCATTTCCCCAGTCTTAAAATCAGATGGTTTCTGCCCTTGATGGGATTGTGATTCCAGGGACAAACAGACTTACAGACACCACCTGACCCAGCTCTGAGTGGCTGACAACAGGGTGGAAGCGGGGCCCATCAGTAAACCTCCTAGTGACTGCCCTGTGCAAATCTGGTTACAAGAGGTCTTTGTCTATTAAGGAAACAGACACTGTTGTTGTTGTTTTTTTAAGTGTTTGTGGCTGGGCATAGTGATATATGACTTCAATCCCAGCATCAGGACAGCAGAGGCAGACAGATCTCTGAGTTGGAAGCCAGCCAGGGATGCAGAGTAAAACTCTGTATCTCAAAAAGACAAATAAAAAACCAAACAAAACGGTGTTTGTGGGTCAGTGGGGTGGCTAGGCAGGTAAAGGTGCTTGCCATGCCAGCCCAGTGACTTGATCTGACCCTCAGACCTGATGTAAAGGTGGAAGGAGATAATAACTCCACGAGTTGTCTTCTGGCCTCCACGTTGTGTACCAAGGCACTGCTGCCCCCTCCCACACTCAGCACACACATTAATCTTTGAGAGAACATGGGGCTTGCACATGCTCGGCAAGCACATCACCACCAAGCTACATCACTAGACCTTAAATGCAGTTACAGCAGTCTGGGGCTGGAGAGATGGTTCCATGGTAGAGAGCACTAGCTGCTCCTCCAGAGGACCTGAGTTCAGTTCCCAGCACCCCATCAGGATCTTACAACCCTGTGAAGCTCCACTCCAGGGCATCTGATGACTCTGTCCCTGCTCTGGTTTGCACTGGCACGTTCACACACACACACACACACACACGTCTTTAAAAAGATGGATATATGGAAAGAGTGGTAATGTGACTTTATTGGAAGAAATGAAATGTACCCATGTATCCATTACAAAAAATACAGGAGAAAGCAGGGTTTTGTTTGTTTCAGTCCTTAGCTCTGACACGGTAATGAGAGGCTGTGGCCTAGCAGGAGTGAAGAGGGCATCACAAGTGCCAGGGGCAAGCAACAGCATTGCCCAGTAGACTGGAGATGTAGCTGAGAGATCCAGCCCACCATCCTGACAGGCCAGACAGTGTTCCTAATGACAACTTGGCATCACCAAGAGTCCTACTTCAGATTGCTAGAAAGAACGGAATTGACTTTAGAACGAGTCTAAGGAAATCACTAAAGTGACTTCTGCCTCCTAAACAGAATTGCAATAGTGATGCAGGGTTTCAGAACTCCCAGGGGTGGGCCTAAGGCAACAGCAGATCACGGGGTCTCACGCTTCTTTCCTTCTAGATGTTACAGGGCTTTGTAGACCCAGCTTGTATAGTCCAGGCTACTTCAACTCAGCCTCTTGAGTTGGAATTTCAGGGGGACACTGCCACCTTTTAAAATTATACATACTCTTTTCTTGCTGGATGGTGTGGTGCATGACTTTAATACTAGCACTCAGGAGGCAGAGGGAAGGGGAATAGCTATGAGTTTGAGGCCAGCCAGGTCCACAGAGTTTCAGGACAGTCCCACAGAGAAACCTTCTCTCAAAAAACTAAACCAAACCAAACCAAACCTTCATTCTCCCTTACACTGTCCTCTCATACACTGGGGTGTCTAGAAACAAAGCAGACACTGAGAATGGCAGCCAAGGTCTTGCTCTTTATTGTCCCCCCCCCCCCCACACGGCCAGGTCGCCCTTATCTGGCACTGTGTGCAGGTGGTGCGCCATCCTGCAGTGGCAGGCCATATCTCAGAGGCAAGGCTTCAGCTGTATCCTAAGTCAGAAGCATAACTTAGCTCTCAGGGGTGGCCTGAGCTCTACCACAGGACAGCTGCAGCTACTACTGGACCAGCCTCGGCTTAGATGTCTTCAGCAGATGGGAGACTGGCCAGAAGGGGCAGTGCCATCTAAGTACTAGCAGCTTGCCTCCTCTGGTGGGTCTTGGGACTCCCAGGTGACTATACACACAAGTGGGAGTCTGTTCTGGCAGGGGTCAGGCAGGAATCCCTCCTGATCAGCAGGCTCAAGGCATCTGATCCTTGCTCCCCCGCTGTTCCTCAGACCCACAGCTGCTGGACACCTGTTAGACCGAGTGTGCTGCCCACCCTGGCATGGCAGCCTGGTAGAGGCACACAGAAGACCACATCCTGTGCTCACAGTAAGAAGCTGAGTCCCGGGGTCTCAGCCCTCAGGCCTCCCCAGTTCACAGCTGTTGGGTGATTCTCTTCTACCCCCTTAGTTCCTTGGGCCATCCTCCAACCTGGGTACCTGAGGGTGGCCACTGCTCCCCCAAACCAAGGCTTATCCTCTCGACGCAATTCTTCTCTCCAGGTGACACAGAGCAGCCTCTCTGCCCAACCTTCCAGTTCTGGCTGCCACTGCCTGCGTGGGCACAGCCCCCTACAGGACTAGGCAAACGCTGCAGCTCTGAGACCAGGGCCCTCCAGGGCCAAGGCGAGGCTCCTCAAAGGTGGCTAGGGCAGGAGCAACTGTGCATGTGACATCATGGAGGAGGGGTGGAACTGGGTGACCCCAGCAGGATGACCCCGGGGACTTGCTTTTCACCTTGTAGAGGTTGTGTTGTCCTTGGCCTGCAGGAACAGACGCCGACAGTGTCGGCAGATCCAGGCTTCGCAGCGGGCCAGGTGCCTGGCAAGGGCATGGCAGCTCTGGGTAGATGTTCACTGGGCGGAGCAGCTGTCTCGGACCCTGGTAGGTGGGCTTAGTTCCTCTCCATCCTGCAGAGGCCCTGGGAGCAGCTTCTCTCATTCATCTCATCCCTCGGCCAACTCCAGACAAACCTGTATCTCGCTGTGGTCTCTGGACTAAAGTCAGGAGTCCATGTCTGCTAACATTGTCAGAGGACAGCCCCTTTGTCACTTCCCTTTCTCCCTGGGGCAGCAGAAGTACAAGGGCTACGGCTGCCAGGACGGCAAAGTCTTTTCTGTCAACTCTCTCTGTAGCTCAGACAGTGGCACCTGGACCAGGCCTGGAGGACATGGCGGAAAAGGGTCCTTCAGCTGCAGGTGGCTCAGCGGTTACTCCAGCAGGAAGAGAGCTGGGTCCTTTCCCAGGTGGCTCTACCTCACCTCGCCTAGCCAGTCTTCCAAACAGTGTCACCTTTGGGCTGAGCCAGGGAGAGGGGAGGGGCTGTCCCTGCTCAGCACCCCGAGGTTTCCTCATTCAGTAAGCTGATCAATGGTTACAGAGCACAATGGTTATCAGAGCCCTTGACTGGTGGCCATAAGCCCAGCCCAGTGTCAGTCACTCAACCTGAGACCAGGCTGTTTGTGGCACTGGCTACCCATGCTGGTCCCTGCAGGGCCTGGGTCATTTGCAGGTCACTGGGCACAGCTTCCCAGGCCACAAGTGCAGTCTATCCAGAGCCTGTATGTTTGGGCTGAGATACCGCGACCCGGCTGTGAGGGCAGAGGAAAAAGCCTCTGGTTGAGATACAAAGAACATGGCTCAGGTGTCAGTCTGACAGGCCCAGTCAGGCCCTGGAGGGAGCCGAGACACATGTCCTTTCTTGTCCCTCCCTGCTTCCAGGCCTTTGGAAAGTGGTACCGGCGCCTGGTAGCCAAGAGCCTACGAGAAGAACCAGACATAGCAGGTGTGGAGCAGAGCTGGGCCCAGCAGCAGCTGTGCTGTGAGCTACGCAGCCCGAGAAACAAACAGAACTGGGCCAGGCCCACAGCTGGAGGCTCAGCTCCCAGAGCTCTGGGGGCACAATAAAAGAACATCCCTTCTTCCAGGCTGCTCTCCACTGTTGTCATCTGGGTCTAGGGGACAAAGGGAGAGGGAATCCCCTGCTCTATCTAAGTTGCTCTATGGACAGCTTCCTCCCCATCCTTGACTCAAACAGGACCAGGAGGTCGGAAGCCAGGCCTCAGGGGCAGCCATTTGTACCTGCCAGTCACTATCCCAGGCGGCGAGGCCTGAGGGCTGACTGGAGAGGAGGGCCAGGGACAGCTTCTAGGCTAGGCCGAACAGAGAGGACGGCAGCTGGCGGGAGTGCCCACTCAGAAGGAACATAGCTGGGCCTTGCTCAATGAATCGCATCTCATCTCATGGGCTTGAGCAGAGAGCACGAGCCCCCTAAATGGGGCATCTCAGATCTAGTCACAGCCTGGCTGCTCCCGGCCAGTCTAGCTGTCGCTGTCATGTGTGGAAAGATGAGGGGGCTCCAGGAGGCTTATGGCGCCTGTGCGTCTCTCTCTGTGGAGTGCCTGTTGAGCAGCTCAAATGTGTCTTCCACCACCTGCCACAGGCAGTTGTCCAGCAGGAACTCGTTGTCCACCAGGTTGACCAGGAAATAATTGTCATGGATGTACTGGATGATCATGCGGGACGGGGACTCCTCCTCATACAGTTTGCCCCACTGCTCAATCCACAGGGCAAAGGCCTCATCCTACATGAGGACACAGACACATGTGTACAGGGTCAACAGGGCTACCACACCTAGGTCCTGGCTCCCACTGTTTCCCTGAGGGCTACCCAGGGAAGAGCAAGGCAGTACTGCTCCAGCTGGCCCAGAAATAAGTGCTAACTTGTGGCCTCCCAGGCCAAGTTTATAGGTCCTAGGGTGCGTGTTTCGGACTACTGTCTGCCCAGGGCTCTCAAGGTAGCCAGGGTACACACCCTCCCACCCACTCACCTTCCAGAACATGAAGCTGATGGGATCCACCACAGTAGGCTGGATGATCTCTCGACCAGGGAAGATGCCCCACGTAACGGCATTGGGCTGCAGCTCGGGGGCATTAGTGATGTTCTTCCCCTGGGAACAGAGGCAGGGCGACTGCAGCCCCACTGCTGGCGACCTCACCCAGCCTGTACTGCCCTCCTGGTCTGCCCTCTACTTAAACCAGAGACTTAGAGGCATCCTGGGCTACTCTCCTTTCCCTGATCCCTACCTGTGCTTATAATCCAGGCTGGCCTTGAACTCATCCTCCAGCGATTAGCTTCCCAGATGCTGGGGGTTACAGACGTGTGCTGCCACAGCTGGCTTTGCTGCTGCTTCTCACCCAGGCCTACAACAGCAGTCCTGCTTTCTTCCTGGGCCACAAGGGCCTCTGACAATGTTCCCTGGGCCTTGCCACCCTCCATAGTTACCTGCTGTGATCTTTGTAAAAAGAAACGGAGGCAAGGCACTCTGCCACTGGGGAAAAGGCTCCCTTGTTTTTGGGTAGTCTCCAGGCCTCAGGCAGGACATCAGAGCTCCTGGTCCTGGTGTAACACTGCCATGTCCTACTTGCACTTTCTCCAAGGCAGTGCAGCCAGAGCCTTGCCTTCTGCCCTTTCCCCAGCATGCCCTTTGCCCTTTGTTTATTCTTTGTCCTTAAAAAGATTCAGGCAAGGGTCTGGGGACATGGCTCAATGAGTAAGAGCACTTGTTGCACAAGCTTAGCCCCGGTATCATGTGAGCAGCCAGGCATGGCTGTGTGTGTGCCTGCATGGGGCAGCCAGGCATGGCTGTGTGTGCCTGCATGGGGAGAGAGGACTGCAGAGGCCCATGCTGTCAACACAGCCCTAGCTTCAGTGAGAGATGCTGTTTAAAGGGAACAAAGCAGACAGTGATAGAGGAGGACACGGGACATCTTCCTTTGGCCCACACACATGCACACACACAATTGCACACAGACTCAGCCCACACAGGATCCCTTCTAGAAACCCTGGACCTNCTGCATGGGGCAGCCAGGCATGGCTCTGTGTGTGCCTGCATGGGGCAGCCAGGCATGGCTCTGTGTGTGCCTGCATGGGGCAGCCAGGCATGGCTGTGTGTGCCTGCATGGGGAGAGAGGACTGCAGAGGCCCATGCTGTCAACACAGCCCTAGCTTCAGTGAGAGATGCTGTTTAAAGGGAACAAAGCAGACAGTGATAGAGGAGGACACGGGACATCTTCCTTTGGCCCACACACATGCACACACACAATTGCACACAGACTCAGCCCACACAGGATCCCTTCTAGAAACCCTGGACCTCTCAGGTGTGACAACCCTCCTTAGGATCCTGTAGCATCCCATGTTGAACCTGCCTTTCCTGCCTACACAGACTTGTCATTGCATATATTCATCTACTTCCCAGCCTGGGACCTCTTTCAGGAGGCCTGCCTCCATCTGGTCCCCTTGTACAGTAAGCCTGGCCTGAGCATCTGGGAACTGTCAGGATAAACATGGATCTTCTCAAGCCCTGCCACCATCTAAGCTGGGCGCTGGCTTACCTGTACATCCACGATGTGGTAGTTGACCCGGAGCTCGTACTTCTTCAGCACCTGCAGAAGGGCCTCCACGGTCTCAGGGGAGGTGAAGAACTCTAAGTAGGCCTGAGGGAGAAGACACCCATCACATCAAGCCAGGGTCCTTGCCAGCTTCTCTGCCTTCTTTCCTCACCCTGCTCCAGGCGACCTCTGCATCTGACTAGATCTGCCTACTGCATCAGCCAGACGCTATCCTCCTCCAAGTGTAGGACCCCATTCATACGAGTGTAGGTCACTGAGGCTCTGGGATTAGAGGTGTCACTGCGGATCGGGATGAACTGTGGAGTCTGGGTGAGCGCATAAGGAAAGAGGCTTCTCTGTCTGGAGTGGTCCCAAGGTACCAGCCATTGGATAAAGGTGTGAGGAGCTGAAGAGAGCCACTCTGACAAGCTTGGGCTCAGGGAGGAGGCTGGCACAGGATAGCCTCCCCATCTATTGGGTGACAATGCCACCAAAGGGCTGGGCAAGGCACTTCTGTCTGCAGATGCCTCTTTCCCTTCATTTTCTAGAATGTTCAGAATACTGTAAGGTGGGTACTTTTGCCCAGAGGAGGAAGCCAGGTTTGGGGCTGCATCAAGGGAGACAGCAGAGCTGGCATCTAAACCCAGGTCTTCTGAGTCCAAGGCTCAGGCCATGCTGTGGAGTGTCACTTAGGCCTGGCAGGCCTGGGATTAAAGTGTTGATCTTGTTAGCAGCCAGAGCTCTGAGAGCCGTTTCCTCGTTCTTCCTCCAGGGAGAGCACTTCATATGCTTTATTATATTTTGTCCTCAAAACATAAAATGCCCCCTCCTCCATTTTACACAGCGAACTGGTGAACCCAGGTGATCTGCTACTTGTTGCAGGGCCCAGGAGGGCTCTAGTGCAGTTTCTGGGGTGCCCTAAGCACTGGCCAGGACGAGTAGCATACCTTCTGGAAGACGTAGCCCCCACTGGGGCCCCAGCCCACAACAGGGTCCGAGGACGGCTTCCCATTGATGTTGGGCTGAGAGTTGATGGTGAGGATGCCCAGCCTGTTGACCCGTAGCAGCTCCTCCTTCATCAGACTGGTTTCCGCTGCCAGGGGGTCATCATTCCAGGGCAGGCAGGTTACCTGCAGGGCAAGGTGAGCGGAGCTAGGGCACCCGTGGGCCTGGGCCTGGGCTTTCTCCCCTGCACAGTCACGGTGGAGACCTAGTCTGTCTCGCCTCCATGGGCTCCTCAGTGGGATTTCTTACCCCTTCCCTCCGCTGAGATGCACACCCATGGGCGAGGAAACAGCCCAAGGCTGACAAGATTGGGGTGGGGACCCTGGTTAGCCCGTCCCACCCCACTTACTATATAGCCATGCTGGTTCGGCTCTCCTGAGAGGTAATGTTCAAAGACGTCGAAGACACTTTTCTCGCTGGTGAGCTCCTCACCCCACATCTTCAGCAGCTCCTCCCTGGGGGACTTGCTCTTCAGGTAGAAGAGGTAGTAGTCCTTCAGTTCCCCAAAGGCTGGCGAGGAGGAATTACCCCTGGCAAGAGTGTCGGGGTCAGGGCGCTCTCCTGTGAGCCCCACCCCAACACCCTCCAGGCACCAGCGGTTTTTAGCATGGAGTGGCTATTGCCCTCACCAGCGGCCATTGGGAAACTCGTCCCAGTCCTGTGTACGGTAGATATAGCTTTTTGGTCTGGAGGCCCAGAAGATGGGGCGCACATATTCCTCCCGCCGCTTGGGATTTGCACTGACAGCCCAGGGCAGGGGACGTCTGGAGAGAAGGAAGGGGTAAAAGCCAAGAGATTAAGTGGAGTGAGCTAGAAGTCACCAAGCCTGGTCACTTAGCCTCACTCTGAGCCTCCACTACACGTGGAAGCCCTCTGAGGTGGAGGGTGGAACCCAGTGACCTGCTAGCTGTCCCTACGCACCTCCTTGCCACTGTAGGGTTACTTTGCACCATCACTGCTCTACCTCCCCTGGAATATTCCTCCAGCTTCCACTTCTCACCTGGGATCCTCAGTCCACATGCCCAGTTGCTTTAGCACCTCCGTGGTAGCCACCTCACGGTTGAGGGTATAGAAGTGGAGGCCTGGCACCAAGCCACTGTCCAGCAGCTCCCGGCACAAGTTCACAGCCAGCTCAATGCCATAGTTGCGGATGGCAGCATCGTTATCTTTAATTGGCTCAATTACATCCTTGATCTTCTGTGGTACTTCCAGCTTGGACAGTTTTACAAGCTGCCGAAGGGAGGTGTAGCCCTGTTCGAGACACAAGAGGTGTGGGGCCATCTCTAGCCGTCTTCCAGCTTATTCCCTTTCTAGTCTCTGGTGAATTAGTTTTATGCAGAGACCTGGGGAAGCCAGGTGGTAATCCGGAGCCATGCTTGGTCTGCCCTGCTTTCTCCCTCCTTTGTAGACTCTGGGAGCTGCCTGCAGCATTCTTGCCATCAGCCAGCCCCTGGGCCCAACAGTGGTCACCTAATTCAGCTATTCCCAAGGCTCACTGGCCAGTCATCTGCC